GCTGGGAAAACATATATTCTGAAGAGGGGGTGTGCCATTTTGCTGAAGTTCAGAACAACTTTAAGAGTGTTTGTTAAAAAATACAGACAACTGCCGCCTCCTCGCCGCCCGATGGCGGTAAACTCGCAGAGCGACCACGGGAGATTTCTGGGGGTGTTTACACATCTGGAAAACACCTGGCAAGAGGAGGTGAACCTTCTGGGTAGAAAGAAAGAATAAGAAAAAGAGCTAAACATGAGATCTTGTAGGTATTTCAAAACTGGGATCCAGCTAATGGGCTATGATCTAGAAGGTGGAGTCATTTCCCCAGAGGCGGTAGCCACTTACAGACGTGGGATGGGTAGGAATGCAGAGACATACAGTGGCTGGCTCCCTTCTAGACAAGATTCCAGAAAGAGCAGACAAGATCAAGTAAGTACTACATGTATCAAAAGGCGAGCTGTGTTTGTAGAAGGTGAAAGGACATTCTGTGACCCTTTTTCCCCAACCCCCACCCTGGACGGATGTTAGCGGCAAAATGGAGCTGCCAGACGAAGCAATGACACTTTAGGAGGTTAAGAAGAGGTTTTCTTTTCCGACCGTGTTCTAGAAAGGATTTCTGTTAAGTCTGCGGTTGCTCTAAACCCTATCTCTACTTCAAACAAAGCGCAGGTGTGTGAGTGCTTTTCTGGGGTCTGAAACCCTCGCCCACGGCTGGAACTCTATGGGGGGAATCAGGCGGCGCCGGGCTTCCGGTACAGGACGCTTTTCACCTGGAAGAAACGCAGTATTTTGCTTTCAGAAGCAAGATGGGCAAAATGAATATGGAAGTCTTCACACGGAAGGAGATGTCCTGGGGGGCCTGGCAGGCTGCTCCAGCGTCCCAGTGAAGCTCAGTTGTCGATGAACCGAGTAGATGTCGTTTAATAAACAAAGTGAATGCACGGCCATGTGGTGACAGCCCCCTTGCTAAGTCCTCCGCACACAAGTGTCTGAGCCGCGTTTACCCAGAGAGTGAATTAGCACCGCGACGTAACACCTGTTTTTCTAATCTTTGAACCTAGGCTGGAGCGGGAAGGCGGCTTCTTTACTCCCCCGCCCAGGCGCAGGGACCGGGCCTCGCACCCTCCGGGCGACCCCGCCC